TCTCCTAGTTTTCTGGTTCTTAAGTTCCTTGTTGATTGTCTCTGGCTATGGATTCTGTACTTTTGCTTCTTCATTAAATTTTGTGAGCAATCATCTATGCCTCCTCTACTCTGCATTTCAGTCCACAACAACATCCACCAACCTTGGCAGGTTGTTTGTTTATTAACCTAAAATTAAAATACAAAGCCACCCAAACTAAATAGTGCAAAGACCCCTTTTAACAATAAAAAAGTCCAAAACCTATTTCTATATAAATGTGGATTCTGTGTTTTAATTACTGATAGAGAATCTCTTTAAAAAAACTAAGAAACCAAATTTCTTTTTTAATAATGAAACTAAATGGAAACGTACAAATGTTGTTTTGAAATAACAGGACATGTAGGACAAGTAGCAACAGCCTTAGAAATATACAGTTAAATATAAAAAGAGGCAGAGTCACTGAAGAATCCCACTTTTCATTTACCCCTTTTAGTTCATTACAATATATATATTTTTTTCTGTTATTTGGTTTTAGCTTGCCATTTCATGAATACCTCATCTTACAAACACTTTCAGTTATTACATTTTTTAGTTTAGTAATCAGATTTCATAAAGACTCTGCAGTCATGTCAATGTTCTTAAATGGTATGGATCAAGAACAGAACCTTGCTATGTACAATCTCATAATCAGATTATCTAACCTGCAACTTTTGCTTCTGTTGGCCAGGTGTCTCCGAGTCCCTCAGACTAGACGTGATCCGACTTGCCCGTTCCAGGGCCTGATAGAAACCACTGATGTGTTTCTCCATCTCCTCTAGCAGAGGCAGTAGGATGTGACACTCCCTCACCAGGGGGGGACACCGCTCCCTTACCTAAGACCCAAAAATATAATCCTTCTAACAATGATGGCATAAAAGCGACTACATAAAACATACAGATTGACTTTTACAAATCCAACCTTGCTCAGCTGGGTTTTGGCCTTTGCCATGGTTGCCATGACCCTGGCTGCTTCATCCTGTGGTGCATCCTTGGCCAGGAGCTGAGCACTGCGGGCAGCCAACTTGTATTGTGTCTCCATGGAAACAACCTTTTGCTTCGTGCTCTGAGATTAGCATGTAAAGGGTCAATTGACTCTCATTAACAATGTGATCTCTAGCATGTTTGAACAGCTGGAATATGTGATAAAAAAAAACTTATGGATTTTAATTTAATATTCTGTTTTTCAACAAAATAACTATAGCATGCAAATTAAAGTGGTACTACTATTGTCTCTAGATATCCTAGATGAACTAACCTCTACATCCTGCAGGAAAGCTCTGACATTGAGGAAGGACACCTGAACAGGAGCATTCAACTTGGTCTCTGCAGTTTCCAGCAGCTCTTTCAGGGTCCACACAGCCTTAAGGTGGTCTTTTCTCCACTTTTCAAACTCATCTGAATGAGCATACTGCAGCAAAGTAAGAGGTAAAAAAAATGAGATCAAAGATTCCTGATCAGGCTTAATTAAGTATGGTAACATCTATGAGAGAGTTAAGGGTAAAATCATGCAGATCCAGTAAGAGGTTTATTTACGCTAGTGAGCATAATGTTTTATTATTATTTTTTTCTCTTTTAGTAAACTGCATTTCAGCAAAATGCTGTCTTAAACCATCACAAAACATCTGGTGGAATTTTTATTGGATGTTTGACTTGCTGCTTTCAAAGATAGTCCCACATTTTCAAAATAGTTGAGGTCTAAATTCTAGGAAGGCCAGTTCAATAAAAGCTTTAATGTGACTGGGATCATTTTCCTGAGAGAACCCAACTGAGTCCATGTTTCACACGTCTCACTGGAAATGTCATCCTCTGATGAAATATATTTGTCCAGAGTGTTTATTGACACTTTAGGAAACACCAAGGCACAGTCATCCATAACCTAGAAACTGCTTAAACACCAGGAACTTTTACTACACTTAGGGATATGTGCAATGAAATAAATATAAGTGTAACAATCTTGGTTCTGTTGGTTTTCTCTAAGTTTTCAGTTTCAAGTTTATCCAGGTTTTTTCTTTGTTCTCTAGCTTTATTGGCGTGTTCTGAATTTAATTTAAATTTCTTAGGTTTTTCTTTGCTTGTCCTCTGCTGCCCTCTTGTGTTCTCATTTTTCCCTAGCTCCTTTCCTGTTCTGCTCTGCTCACACCTGCTCCCAATCTGCTCGTTAGTTCTCTCTTTGTTACAGTCTCCCATAAATACACTCCTTATGCAGTTCCTCAGTGCTGGTTCCTCATCTTACTTTGTCTCACCCTGGCTACTTGTGATAGTTTTCCCCTGATGTCTCCATGGTTCTGGTTAGTATTTAATGTTTATGTTGGATTTTTGGAACCTGTTTTTGTTTAACATTTTTAAGTTGGATTTTTGAATTCCTGTTTTTGCTGCCTGTGTTATCCCATAAAATCATCAAAGAACTCACCCCTGCCTCTCAGCCTCTGCATTTGGGTCCTTACAAAAACCTCCAAACAAACCTTTTTTTAAAATAAGTTTAGGAACCCGAAACAGTATCGCAGCATAAGGATGGCAGCTCCATAATGGGTATAGGCCAGAGTACATAAACTGTTCTTTGGTTCGAAGGGTTCACCCTCACTCTTTTAAACACTTTTTTTCTGACACCATAGCAAAATTGCACAACCTTTTTCTTTACTGACCAAAAATTAAGATATATTTGTTTTATTGTTGATGTTAAAATGCTTTGCCATGGATACTGATGTCGGTTTGGTGGTTCCTTGGAGGTTTCTGTACAATCCTTTTGGGTGGGTGTTTCAGTTAGAAGGCTAGTTGGAAATAGCTGGGTGTTTCTACAGGATGATAAATCTAAATACACACATAAACTGCTTATAGAAGAGATGTAGCTATAAAATGTAAGTGGTCAGGAAGAAGGATCAGACATTCAGATTATCCAAGGACATTGTTGGTAGCTGCAAAACGTATGTGGTTACCCTGTAACTGAATAAGAGACAATCATCCATATTTTAGGAAGTGTATTTATGCCTGTATCATCAGTTTTGACCACATGTGGCAACAGGGAACATTTTTACCGAAATTCTCAATCATGGCTTGTAAAGTTTCTTCGTTTTGTTTACCTTACTGTATGTTTAGTCAACCTAGGTGAAAAAAAGGACACAGCTGAATGTTTTCATGGTTACTTGTTTGACTTGGAGGAAGAGCTCTCTCCATCGTCCGTTTAACAGAAGCAGCTGCTGCTTGAGATGGAGCGACACGGTTTCATCGCACGTCTCAATGAGAAAATTCCCGGCATCGTTCATGGCTGCGTGCTGATCCATCCAGTGGCTGAGTTTCCTGAAAAACTCCTGGAGGAACAACAGACACTTCAGAGGGAAAGAAAAAGACTTACACGCACAAAAGAACTTTAGAGAAACAAAAAATAAGTGTCAGAGTATGAAATTTTAGACAGCTAATAAAAAAGAGACAATGACAGGGATTCAAGGAAGGAAACAAAGGAAAGACAATATAGCTGGAGTAATTAGCTGTCTAATCCTCACTGAGGATGTGAATCAGTGGTTGCTATGGTAATACAACAGCAGGACCAACCTCCGTGGCTTGTGAGTCAAAGAGAATGTATACTTGAGAGGAAACTGCTAACAAGATTCCACTTTAAAGACAATAACTAACTTGTCAAAGACCTGAACACTTTCTATTAATACTCTACAATATTTTTTCAGCCAACCCAATCAAGGCGCACCTGAAGGCCTCCTTCACCTATTCAGAAATGTACAGGATCAAACAGTAAGAGACAAACCTGTTTGAGGTTCTCTGGCTGGCTCAGAGCTTCCTCAGCATCCTCCAGCCAGGCCTGCAAGGAGGCCACTGTGGACGTGTACCTCTCCCAGTTGGACAGAACCTCGTCCAGCATGCTCCTCACACTGCGCACTTCCATCGACAGACTCCTCCACTGAGTCACCACTTCCCGCAAAAATCTGCGCACTCCCATCTCACCCTCATCCGCTAGGAATCAAAAGAAATATCAATAAGCACAATCTTTATGTTGCTGGGATTCCTGCATGTTTCTCCAACTTTTAAGACCTTCTAAGGAAAAAAAAATCAAGACAAACAGAAATTATGAAGAAGATATTCACTAACTTAGATTGAACTACATACCACAAGTGTGTATAAATAAATTAGCGTTGTTGGTAGGAAACATGCTTTTACATGTAGACTATCCAGCCTCATCTCCTATAGTATAAAATAACTGTTTTCATTCAGAAATATGGCAAAAAAAAAAGATCCAGTGGTAATTGACATATCAACAGCTTTTTTTTTTATTGCTAAAACATAAGCAAGCTTGCTTCAGTAGCATAATTATTTTGCAGGTTTACAGAGAAACATGAAAATTTTTATGCAGGGCAAATTTTTTGTTCGTGTTAACATTTAAATTGTCATAACTTTGATGTTACAAAAATAGAAATATGTATTAACTCAATAGAATTAATGATGTATAAAACAATTAAGCATTTTTCAGATGTTTTCAGGCCTGACATCAAGATGATTTAATTTAACACCTTTTATAAGAAGATTACAGAAACTCTGCAACTTTGACTTTTGCTTTGATTAGAATGAATACTTTCTGAAATCTGCTGTTTCCTTTTTTAGAAACCAATATTACATTTATACTATGTTTAAGTGGTCTCTGAGGCCACCCTAACCTAACTAACCCCAACTTCAACCAAGCAGCAGCTCCTTTCTGTCCCCCACTCCTCAGTCTACCTCCCTCCTCCCCATGGTCTCTCCAATGCAGGTGGGAGGCCAGCAGCTGACGATGAAAGAAAGAAAAGCCTCGGGACCTGACAACTTTCCCCCAAAGGCTGCTGAGGACTCGTGCAGATGAGCTCTGTGAGGTCCTACAGTAAGCCACATGTAAAACCTGAGCCTTTGGATGACCTCCAGTGCGGCCTCACACCAAGGAACCAGCCCACTTAAGACCAGTCGCCCTGACCTCCCACCTGTTGAAAAAGACCATGGAGACCTCATCCTTGCCCACCTCTGCCTTGGACCCCCTGCAGTTTGCCTACAGGCCCAATGTCAGAAAAGAGGACGCTGTCATCTACCTGCTGCAGTGGGCGCTAATCCACTTGGAAACCACGGGGAGCGCTGTTAGAGTCATATTCTTCAACTTCTCCAGTGCTTTCAATACCATCAGATCAATAAAGCTGAGATGGAGTATTGTTGCTCATCATCAACATATTTTCTCTCACTGACCGCCCTCAGTACATGTGACTGACCTCCTGTCAATCAGAAATGGTATTCTGCAGCACTGGGGCCCCCCAGGGCACTGTACTGTCTCCATTTCTCTTCATTCTCTCAACCTCGGACTTCACCTACAACACGGACAGCTGCCACCTCCAGAAGTCCTCTGATGACCCAGCCATTTGTGGGCTGTGTTTCTGAGGGGAACGAGCTGGTGTACCGGTGGGTCACACCAGCTCATTCCCCTGATTCCATGATGGGTCATGGAATTTGTGGACTGTATATATATATATATATATAGTTATAGTTATACTGATATATCTATAGATAGATATGTTAGATTTTTTTTAGCCAGACGCTGTACACTTCCTCCTTTGATGCACCTTTTCCTCCTCACAAGTGCATTTTTCCGTAGTGAGATAAATAGTCCTATCTTATCATATCTTTAAAAAGTCTCACTAGGTTTTACGGCAGATGGTCACATTTCTCTAAAACACCAGATGAGATCCACATTGAGATTGATGAAGCTGCAATGCCTCTGCAGAGAAGTCTTTGACCCCTCCAAAAAAAAATTAATTGCAGGAAAACTATCAACCTCATTTGTGTGCTAAATTGATTCAGTTACTCTCTGCAGCACTGCAGCAGCTATACCATATGTATTCTGGGAATGAGTAAATAATAAATCCAGGTTCACATGGATGTTAACTACAAAATCAGAATAACATATTTTATACCCTGGTCCACAGCTTTTTTTTAATGATCTCTCAACCAGCCAGTGGAAGGCCAGACCGCCGAATCTACCAACACCAGCAGCGCCTGGTGGTTTATTTCATTCATGGGCCCAACCAGTCAAACCCCAGATGTCCTGATTTCTCGCCACAGATCACTTCTCCCCTTTGCATACCCTAAAGCATCACAGCCCCGAAAAAAACTAATGAAACCAACAAACTAGCTCACATGGTCTGTGCCCAGAGACCGGCAGAAGTGGAGCAGCCCCTTAAACAGGCAAATGGGGTCGTATTCCCCACTGAGAGCTGGAAACGAAGGAACCTCATTTAGTTGTAGCCTGCAGACTCCCTTCTTCAAGCTAATTGTAAAATCAGTCAGCGCTTGCTTGGATGAGCTGCCGAACAAAAACACCTCATTGGTTACTGAGTTGTTGAAGAGGGAAGCTAAAGTTGAGATATAACGTGCATTTGTTTTAATTTGATGTCAGGCTGAATGAGTTTGGGGGCATGTAATTCTTTTAAAACAAACCTAACCAAATGAAGAAAATACAACTGGCATGATGATATTAAATATCGTATCCATCAGAGATATAAATACAGTGATTGAGTTATACTGCTGTGAGTCATGCTTCCTATGAGTAACTTGGACACATTTATTTTGGTTCTGGATTATTAAAATTATTTCTGGTGATTGGATGCAGAAATAAACTGTTAGAAACAAATCTAACATCTATTTGTTAAAGCCAAGGTTTTCTTAATTTTTTTGCATTATTGTTTTAGGCATTAGGCAACCATTTTAAAATAATCTTGTGTCTGGTAAAACAGGGTTTGATTATGCAGAAAAGTTCAGCTTAATTATATCAGTGCCAGCGGGTGCTTTTTTATTAGTACTGACAAAACTAAGAAATTGTTTTTTCAGAAAAAACAAAAAACAAAATCTCTCGAATTACTTTAGGTCTGCTTAAAAAGTGGAATCACTGGTTAAGTAACAGAAATAAAAAATCTGGGGATATCACTTTAAAAGCCCTATTAATATAATTAAATAAATATTAGGAAAATGTAAAGTTTCTGTCTCTTTAACAGATGAAATACCATTTTAGTATCAACCATGCAACTCCTAATAGTCTTTAAGCATAAAAATAAATATAAAAGAAAAAAACTAAAGAACTGTGCATCTTTGAAATCCTTTGTCGGGTCTTTGTTGGGTATGATTTTCTAACATCTGTCAGCTTGTGCCAGATTTCCTAAATTCTTTCCATCACACTCTTAATACATAGCAATCATTATCAGGTCAGCAGATCTATATTTCACTAAATTAAACTTTAAATTAAACTATTTAGTGACCTAAATATCAGAGTTCTCACCCGAGCTGTCCAAACTGACGTAGGCCTCTGCAGACTCTTTGAGGGACTGGAACAGCGCTTCATAATTCTCAAAGAAATGTTGCTTCTCCACAAATGACTACAGAAAAGAGGTGTGGGTAGAAATAAAATACTGTCCTAGTTTCACAATAACTTTTTTTTCATATATGGTAATGAAACTCTAAAAATTAAGATATAACAAGGTGGAATTCAAATAAAAACAAGTACTTACAATATAGTTGTTGAGCATCAGCTCGACGGATTCCTGATGGCCATATTTGATGATCCAGGATTTCAGCCTGGACTCTGCCAGTGTGAGGAAGGCCTGCATGTGATGTTTGTTCTCCAGGAATGCCATCCTGGCCAAATGGATGCTGGAGGATGTAGAAACAAAGTTCATCCTAAGCAGAAAGACAAAGTTTATCCATAAGACATCAGATGGCCAGCTATTCTTATATTTGGCTGTTTTCCTGTAAATTAGACTGTGAAATCATGCCAGTTTAGTTGTTTAGGTGGTCCTGCCAAGAAACACTTCTACTCTGCTGTCTTTTTCCCAGACTCACCGCTCTGCCATGTCTTGGAGCTGATCCTGTGGAACAGCGACACCGTCCACACTTCTGTCTCTATGGATTCTCTGAAAAATCTGCTGGTGACTCTCCAGGCTTCTCAACACATCCTGCAAATTTTGCAACATAGAAAAACAAAAATTTAGGGAAAGAGAAATTATTCATCATCAAAATGCAATCATTGGTTTGCAAAAGTTAGATCTTCTTCTATCAAATTCATTACTAAATATATATATATATGTGTACACACACACACACACACACACACACATATATATATATATATATATATATATATATATATATATATATATAATGCTATTTTCTGATAACATTTTGCCTTCTTTGTCAACATTGCTTACAACTGACCTTGTGCTGCTGCAGAGCTTTGTGTACAGTATTAGCTGTGATATCATGCCCCTGCTGAAGAGTAATCTCTTGTCGCAGGGCTCCTTCAGCCTCATGTAGCCATTCCCCAACTGTCCCCAGAGGAGCTGGCAGGGATCTATCCAGCTGAAGGTGCCAATCCAGAAGCTAAATTAACACAAACAATAAGCGCGTTAAAACTAAAAACAAAAGATATCACTTCTGTAAAACTTTAACAATAAGGTCTCATCTAACATTGCACACACGTTCTATATAGAAGATAGATAGGGGCGCTGGTTTCTCTCACCCTGTTGGAGACCCGTTCCCAGGCCTGTTTGACCAGAGCCTGATCCACAGTCAGCATCCCATCCCGCTGTGTGGACTGTAAAGCTCCCTCCACCTGCTTCCGTTTCATCTCCAACTGGACTTGCAAGCTTTTGAAGAGCTATGATAGATAGATAGATAGATAGATAGATAGATAGATAGATAGATAGATAGATAGATAGATAGATAGATAGATAGATAGATAGATAGATAGATAGATAGATAGATAGATAGATAGATAGATAGATATTTGCCTCTGGTTGCAATGCACAGTAATATAAACAGATCGCTGACAGGTTACACCCTCTTCCCATGGGCATCTCATCAGCTACTTCTTTAAATTCCACCCTCACTACCTTATCATTTACTAAACCATTGAAGAGAAAATTATATCCCACATGCTGAGGTATAAGAGATGTATCCTGAGGCTTAGAGGAATGAGCCAGACAGAAAATATGACGGCGGATCTTGATCCCTACAGTGAGATGCTTCAGAATAACCCTATTAATAGGACCGTCTGGGTAGAGTGTCTCTATGTGAAACTTTACACAAACACACACTAACCTGGTACTGTTCATCAAGGCTGCTTTCAGTCTCCTGTGCCTGTACTGCCTCCTTCTCCAAGTGTTCGAGCCACATTTTGAGTTCCCTCTGGCTCTTTCGCTGTTCTCTCTTGAAGGCCAGGATGAATGAAAGGGAAGAGGGGTGAGAGGCAGACAGAGAAAGACGGACAAGGAGGAGGAAGTGTAGGAATAGATAAGAAAGAGGAGAGGGGATAAAGAAGATGGAGTAGCAGGGGGGTAAAAGAAAATAAAGAAAAGAAATAGGCGAAGAAACAGACAATGAACCGTTAAAATGTGTTCTCCTAATCTCGTCTCCTGTTGGGAAAGATCAGAAGCCCACAGCTGCCAAAAACACTCAGCTTAAGCAGGACACTTTGTCTAACACCCCCCTACTGTTTGATTGGATTTAAGGAAATCACAACGATAATAACGTAGTGCCATGCAGCACACCAACTAATGAAGCTCGTCCTGCATGGTAGACATACAATTTTTGATGAACCTGCACATTCTTTCAATGAAACAAGACACATGTTGCTTTTACAATCTCAGAAAAAAACAAAAACATATGAGCTAGTAACAAGTGAACAAAAGCCCTTATCAGTATTCCGAGACGAAATTTAAAGTGGCCAAAAAAATAAATAAAATATCAAGCAGCTCTGGATATTTTTCACCTTAAAACTGACCTCTTCTATTCACCAGCTTCCCTCAAACAGCTTGTATCAATGCAAAGAGCCTATGCCAGAGGCTTTCATTGTCATGCTAATGGAACCAGCAGTCACAGCGCAACTTGGCAGCGTGTATAAATGGCAATATCACATCTTATTATAATGGACGCCCTGGGGCAGAAATGTCAAGTCAGGTGAGCCGACATTAGCAAACAGGATCTGTTTTGACATGAAAAAATGATGTTTAATCAAGCTTTCGTGTACAGTTTAGAGTAATACCATGGATGATTAATTCAAAAGCAGGGAAAATAAACCTAAGGCAAATACTGCATGTGGAGTAAAAGTGAAGGTATTCATTCTATTTGCATTAATCTGAGGAAAATGAGATGTTAAAGAAACCCCATGTAAACCTACCTCAAACATTTCCTCTATGTCCCGAGGAGCAAACTCATGCTGTAGGTAGAGGCCAGCAAAATGACAGAAAAGAGAACAAAAAAATACAGTGGCTTACAAATGTATTCATACCAAATTTGTCGTTAGCAAATATATCAAACCAATTTGTTTAGAATTTTCTATAGTCAATAATTATGACATGGAGCTGCCTTTTAAAAAAGGTGGAACTAAATAGATTACGGTATTAGGAAAGGTGTCCTGTGAGGAAAATCTTATCTGTTTGTTACATATTGTTATAACCAATGAGATTTCCCAAAAAAAAAAAAAAAAAAAAAAAAAAAAAAAAAACACTGGACTGTGTTTTCCAAGTTTGAAGACGTTTACCTTCCCGTCCAGGAAGCTTTTTCAATTCAAAATGTCTGGATTAGCACTGAGTTCCAATATTTATAGAGTAGCTGATGAAGATTCTCAGTCATCCATGTCATAGTCATTCCGTAAAAGTTCAAAAAAATCCACTGGACTTGGTTTTCAAGATTTGGTATCCAGACATTTGAATTGAGAAAGCTTCCTGGAGAGGTGGCAAAACGTCTTCAAATCTTGGAAACCAAGTCCAGTGGATTTTTTTGAACTTTTACGGAATTTATAGAGTAGCCCAACAAAGTTTTGTTATGGCTCAGAAACCAGAATGTTCCCATTTTGGACAAAGAACATAGGTGGTTCGAAAGGGGTGTGAAGGAAGCCCTTTATGTTAAGAGAGAAAAAACAACCTTGAACTGAGGGGGACTCAGGTTTCAGCTCTCAAAAACCTACAATGCAGCAATAGAGTTGATTCCTTCCTGATATCATCTCAACCATCATCAGGCTAACAAAGACCTTAACGACACCACATTACTAAGTGACGGACTTGTTCTCCCAGTTCAATTTGCATGTTTTATAAGCCAAAACAAGGCTTTGTTGGGCTATTCTATAATTTTTGGAACTCAACGCTAATCCAGGCATTTTGAATTGAAAAGGCTTCCTGGATGGGAAGCGAAACGTCTTCAGTCTTGGAAAACGAAGTCTAGTGGATTGTTTTTTTTTACTTTGTTGGAATGACTATGACATGGATGAAGCTTCACCAGCATAATCCATGAGGTGGACATGGATTACAAAAGAAAATGTCACAATAAGAAAACTCAGTGATAGAGTTACGTAGACAGGGTGTTACCACTTCTTCGGGCTGTTCTTCTGAGTCGTTCTGCTTCCTGTCAGGGTGATGCTTCAAGAACTGGGCAACATAGGTCATGACAGATTTCTCATCTGGCTTGTCTACATCCACATCTAATAAAAAACCAAAATACAAACAGTGTATCTAATGTGAGGTTACATCAATTTGTCTATCAACAGTTATTCCTCACAGAGAAAAAATAATCATCACATATAAGATTGGGTTTGTCTCAGACAGACAAGTGTCATATTGACCAAAAAAACAATCCTTGGCATCTCAGACCAGTGTCTAACTTCAGTAATGGAGACTCTGCCATGCCGAATCTCACGGCCTAATGGACCTTAATTATAGTGGTGTCAGGCTCAATTTGTCAAAGATCATTCTCTGGTGCAGCCATGAAGGGGCACAGATGGTGTTTGGCAATGATACCACATTGCACATCACCTTATTCGTGCTTTGTGTACCCACATCGCATCCAATGTCAATTATTTGGTATTAGATTTAATTTAAGCAAAATAAGACATTGTTCCTTTTCATTAATGATAAATCAACACAATGTACAAAAGAAATGCAGATTTAAACAGCCATAAAGGTCATCTGCTCAAATCATGTTTGACAAAGTTGTTTTAAATGCAAAGAGCTGCACACTTCAGCTTCATAATAACCTGCAAGCAAAGGCTCTGAGGAATGTTATAGGAAATATTATTTACCTGCTGGATCAAGAAGCTGTGGAATGCCTAACTCGGTCTCAGCCAATAGAAACGCCTCTTGCAGATTTTCTCGATTTGACCTCCTCCATACCTGCTCCATGTCTACAAGATTAGGCCGGAGGGCATTGATAACAGCAAAAAAGGCTAAACCAGTGCGCCAGCTGGGGCCAAAGTCTTTCACGTCAAGACCTTGACATCTAGAAACATAAAAATTTATGATGTCAAAAGCACCATTTTCATTTATTTACAGTAAAATGTGATAAATAATGTTCTGTACTTGGTAGCTGTCTGCTGAACCCATCTGAGTAAAGCCTTTCTGGCTCCCCCTTGCAGAGGAGGCTGAGGTCTCCGTTTGACAGGTGGGCTGGTGGTGTCAGTGCTGCTGGTGGAGCTATCCATGGAGGAGTTACTGCTGGAGAAGACCTGGAGCTCTGGTAGACTGCTGGTTAGCTCTTCAATCTGCAGGGAAAAGAAGACAACACATTTCAGGTTATTAATATATACTAGCTACACTAATGATATCCATGCTGAGCCTTATAAATAACAGATTTCATCCCTGCATATGTGCATTGTTCAAAAGAAAAATATCAAAATGTTCTTTTTTTTTATTTCCTAAAGTTAAGATAAAATAAAAATTGTATAAAATAATGAAAGTATTTTAACAATGAAACTGTAGAAAGACTTTCTCTGCTTTTTTTTTTTTTTTTTTACAAGTTTGTGGTCATAAAAATAAAACATAATGTAAAGAACAGTTATACGAATCCTTAAATCACCAGCTAATACTAATTGTTAAGGAATCAAAATCCATTAATCCAGTAAAGTTTAACTTTGCTTGCATCAAATATTTGAAGCAGCAATAACAAAGCTGAAATGAGCACCTGAGAACAAAAACTGTGTTGATCTAAATCTCCACAGACACACCTAAGACAGCTCTTTATATCATCAGATGAAGATCTTCTGTTAAAATTATAGCATTTCCCCTCACTATGGTGCTGTGTAAACTATGACTACAGCTATGATAAAAGGGTGCAAAGAAATCGCTGCAGACACACCTGAAAAATGATTGATGAGATGTCAAGTTAAGGCAAAGCAAGTAAAGGTACGGTAACATCACTTGAGGATTGTGTTTCAATCAGAGCAGATTTATGGATATAGCAACGGATATATCGGATCCATTGGACAAAATATTGGACCAAAGACTAAAATATGGAACATAATCAGTGAGGATATTGCCAATGATTCAGATTCAATTAAATTCATAAGTACTTTATTAATCCCAAAGGAAAATTTAATAAGTCAATATCCTTCATGCCAGAAAGACCGACTTGCTGCCAAACAATTTGGCTGCAACATTATAGAAAACTACTAACGTGTTTTCATTCTCTATACTCATTTGAGGTAAATCTCAGAGATATAATGATCTTTTCAGACCAACTGTTGAGTCGTGCATGTCAACAAAGACCAAATCAAAACTTTCCTTTTCCGATCCATGGAAGAAGAAAAAGATGAATATATATGTGTATAACATGGGACATAAATCCTCAGGATCTAGTCTTGCCTGGTCATCAGTTTTTGAGATTCATATTTATGCAAAGATAATCTAACCCATTTGATGGTAAAATAAGAAACAGTTCAACAAATCTTTCAACATGTGGCAAAATATATGAGTGTACTTTGTACAGTTTACTTAAACTTCTACCTTCATGGTTCTTCATGTTATCTAATGTTTATTAACTGTCGGTGCTATTAAAGGCTGGTTTATGTAAAATTTAAATGATCTGTCCACAGGGATTAGCTTTTATCTTGTTCCCTACAATTATGCTTTTCCAATAAATACTCTAGCATGTGCATAAAATCAGATACAGTATGCTAGTACAACACAAGGCTTGTAATTTTAAAGTTTTCGATCATACCTTCACCAAGATGTTAGACTGCAGTTAAATTCCCAATCTTCAAGGTATTTTGTAATGTTAATAGTTTGCAAGCTGCATTTGAAAACCCAGCTGGCAAACATATTCAGATTACCTGGAAATACAGTATGATTGTCCACACCAAACCAAGTACAATCGATGGGCGTCCATCCACAATGTCGGTGGAGTTAATGTTTACCAGCCTAATCTGTAAAATAAAATAAAAAATGCAACAGTTATCATTTTTAGAGGTTCACAACTTCAGAGAGTAATTTAATGTTTTTGCCTATACGGATTAAATGATATTTCGTTTAATCTGGTAAATTAAAGCTATACTGTATACATGTTCACAAAATTAATAATATAGCAGATATGTAGTCGCACAGATAAATCTAAGCTTATTTCTATCCGGACCAAAGCAACAAAAAAACAGTATGAATACTAACCGGAGATCCTCTATAGGCAGACTAGGGGCAGATAAGAAAAGAAGACAAATGAGCACAGGAGTTAGTTAGGTGGAGGAGGGAGAGAGTGAGAACCTGAAGTCATTCTAGATACATTTGATTGAAAGCAAACGTCTCATTGACTGTGTGAAGGCCAACACTTCTCCGAGGTGAGATAACATGAGTGGCTGGCATTGAGTGGAGATGTATCTCCACTACACAGGCAACAGGGATTACATCCAGCAGAGATGGGTGAAAAGAAAAGCAAGAGAGGGGTAGAGAGCAGGAGGAGGGTGGGGTGGAAAGAGAGGGCTGTATCTTGTGATATGTTGAAATATACTTTATTATCAAACAGAGGGTAAAATCACTGAGATGCTGGAGCACAACAGGTCATCATGTGGGCAATAGGAGTAACTCAGTATTCGCAAAAAAAGCATCAAAGAGGAGATTGGGAGCAAGCGAGAAAGTGTGGAGAAATGCAGGGTGGTGGCTGATAAAGAAAATATGCAATACATGATTTTATATTAGAAAACACAGCAGGTCGCCCTGATAACTCACAAACCAGTAATGGGAAGAGGGAACTGTAAATAGGACTGCTGGCTCACTGTAAGCACAAATGCAGCAGTAAAAAGAAAAAAAAACTGAGGGACGTTTGAATGTTACCAGTGTTTTTAAATAAAAAATGTAACATAATTTAAAAAAAAAGTTTTTTTTCTTTTTAACCAAACTTTTTTTTGAGATATTTTAGAAGCTTTCTATTACAAACAAGGTTTCTCAACTTTGCAATAGAACAAAGCAGCTCCATGAAGGTTTCCTGTTAATATCTAGTCTGGTTACTCAAATCTCAAAGCCTTTCTTTGGCTAATAAGAAATGTTAAAACTGTCTGAAGTCATAACCTTGAGCTCAGAGCAACTATGTTGAAAATAACTTCACAGCCTTCAGATAAAAATAAACACATGAATTAAATTATTTAAATAATTTCTAGTCGCAGAATCGGGTGGACTTTATCTTGAAAATTTGTTCTGTAACATTCTACAAGTTAAAAAATGCTAATAATGGCACGTGAAATATCACGATGATACTGCAAACATTATCTTAGACATATATGCAAAATTCCTTGATGTCTCATCTCCAGACAGCAGATTAGTACCCAAGGATTTACAGTTTTAACTCTGACACACCCGAAGAAGACAAATCAATGTCCCTGCAGACATCATCTCCAACTTGTGGCTTAAGTACGCATATGCAAGGATAAGATATGTAAAGCTTAGAGAATAATCTCTACATCTCTTGACAGGGTAGAAGATCAAATCAGATATTGGTGTGCACAAGTGTCTAGAGCATTTTAATGAATCACAGCAACTTCCAAAGTATTTACATCATTGAACTTTGTCATATAAGGACACCACAAAACCCTGATGCCTTTCATTCTAATATATGATAGACAAACACCAAGTAGTATAGCTCTGTAAAAAAATCTCAAAATTTTTTTGACCTATATATATTTTGGAGTTTTTACTCTGACACTCCTAGCTATTAAACAGAGCACTGAAAAGAGGCCATTTAGGATATCACATACAGTTTGGTAGAAGTCATGCAGTGGAGATAAAGATGTGGTAAGGTGCATTGACCAGATAAGAACAAACTGAAATCTTTTAACATGCATGGGATGCAACAGGGACTGTTTCGGAGCCTACATCTTTGCAAATTGGAAGGTGGTTGCATCTAAACGGAACGCGATACAGAAAAAAAGACGTATTGGAGGCTGCAAAATATTAGGAGATGGGAAGAAGGTCCTAAACTTAAAGCCAAAGTGACCATGGAAATTTAAGGATCGACTCATCCAAATCTCATAATGGCCTAATCAAGTTCATATTTAAATCAATTCTTTGTCAAGGCTTAAAAAATGATTGCTGAATCTCTGCATCCAGTCTGACTGAGAAGAGGCTACTTTATTCTTCTTGACATTTGAAACAGATGACAGCATAAATACATTTACAGGCCACAAATTAAATTTGAAAAAAAAAAAAAATTTTTTCTTTTGGATTCCACTTTTATATATCAATTACATGAAATCTTGATAAAATACACTTGGATAGTAAAATCTTAAGAATGGGTACCTCTACTGATCAAAATAAATCTGATGATGAATATGGTAAACTGTTTTTATAAAGAGTTGTGAAAATTAAAAAAAGATGAACCCAGTACAGATAAAATGAAGCAGGAGTAATACCGGGAGACCAATCAGTAGCAGGGATCAGAAGAGGAGGCAGAATTAGTCCAATAATTAAATTTCAAATGACTTTTTGTTACTTAAATGCAGCTAATCGAATCCATTCAAATAATTATTTCCTACAAGATGTAGAAGAAAGATCAACCCAACAAAATCTATGCAGTCAGAAAAAAAATATACAAATGAGGTATTGTTTGTGAATAAATGAGGTATGCAAGAAGCAAAAACATGGAGAGAGGTTTGGAGGAAGAGGGAAGAAGGTCACCGAAGGTCAGCATTCAATATTTGTGCCCAAGAGGCTGCAGCTGCACGAAGAAAAAAAACAGGGGGAAGTGGAAAGAACACATTCAAAGGAGACCTTGAACTCTTACTTTTCTACCCTCAAGGAACTTGAGAGCTGTACCAATATTGGCGACCCAGTGGATCCTCTTTAGTTTCTTGCCCTGCTCACATGGCTGGAAGGAAGAGAGGAAACAATGGACATTTAAAAAACAAAGAGAGTTAGAAGTGAAAGGAGCAGAAGTGAAATTTTAGATACAATATAAGAGAAAAATAGATTAAAGAATTTAAAACAGGGACTATGCTCTCATGAATAGAAATGCTGAGAAAAACACAGGCACCAATGAGAGCTTTGTTTGACTCTTAACCATCAGATCAATAGGACGTACGGGCTTAGACCTTGAGCAACACCGGCCCAGTAAAATCCTTAAAATGTCTTTGTGTTGTGTGTGAACTCTGATCTGTCCTCGTTAATCTGGGCTTTCCTATACAATTCAAACATCCTAATACAAGCAAATCAATAAGCCTTTTCCGTGGAGTCGGGGCCAATTTCACATTCCCGTCTGCAGCTCTATAAGGCTGTATAAACAAAGAAGCAAAAAGGATTCCACTGGTCTGACATCAGATCAGTTTTAGAGGGGAGGAATGGCAGCTTGGCATGTGCTGATTTAAAAAATGTTTAATCCGACAAGCTCTGAGGACATGATGTGTTTGAAGTGGGCAGCCAAGTCACATGCTAAGGAAAAGACCACGAGGCTCACCAGTTTTTGTCCAGAGAGAACTTCCAGGAGGGCCAGCAGCATCACACCATCCTTGATGTCGTCAAAGAGGTCTTTCACCTCAAGAGAAGGAACACGCTATACAGAAAACAATTAGAATTAATAGAAATCTACAAAACTCTAAAAAAGTATTAACATTGCTTGAATGTTTCCAGATTTTGTCAAGTCACAAGCACTAATTTTGAATTATTTTACTAGCAAATATCAACTAACGCAGACTTAAAAAAGAGACTTTTGCAGAATTTTTTGGGAATAAAACAAAACCTGCCTTTGTATTCAAACCCATTTTTTTTTATAACCATTACATATTTTCCTATCAAATGTCTAAGCTTTACCTAAAAAGAAACAAACACTTTTCTTTTAAAAACTATTCCAAATCAAGAAGTTGGTACTGCTTAGTATAGAAGGAATCTGCAAATGATTGAAGACCAAAGGATATAAAAAGGTTTGCATGTTTGTACAATTAGGATTATAATAGTAGATTTGAACATTTGGGGGTTTTTTCTACTTTTTTCTACATGCTAGATCTTTCTAGAAAGTACTCTTTCCCTTTCGCCAAGAGTTACTATGTCCTTAAAAATTCTCACTTTATTTGCATAAGTTTGATAAATGAATAACCTAAAGTCTGTTTTTAGCATGAAAAAAAAACTGTGTGTTGTATCCAATATTTACTATATTTAAATTTTCAGAAGAGTGCAGTTTGTATGAATCTTTTAAAGGCTTTGTTTCAGTGTAAATCACACATTAATTCTTAGTCAAGTGTTGATTTGTTTTGACCATCTTGGGCAAATATGTATTCTTTAATTGTGGTCTTGGACAGGATGAGGATTAATCATTCCAAGGGCTGCATATGGCTCCAAACCACACTTTGTACAGCCGTGGTTTAAGCATATATGAATAAATACAAACCAAAAATCCAAATCAGAATCTGCAGTAAGTCTCTAAAACTGCTGGTGGAATGCTCTGTACCCAGTCTCATGACAGTAAAACTATTTATGTTTCTAATAAACTAAAAAGAAATGGCTAAAATGCAAGTTTTTTTGTTAGTCCCAATAAATCACAATGTTTAAAAAATAAATACATATAGTTAATTGTATGAAGCTTTTTTTTTTGCATAAGTAGTTGTTTACATAAATGCTTTAAGATATAAACTTAGACAAAGCTTTCTCAGTGTTCCAGGAATGCAAAGACTAGGGATTTTAGATGAAATAGCTTTTGCAATGAATGTACAGAAAACTTTCAATAAAGAAGTGGTCTGTTCTACACGCCATTCCATTTTCAGCTGCAAAGCACCAACATACACCACATTGCAGCACATATATTAGTGATTTGGACATTCACATAAGCTTCTGCAACATGGATAAAGAAAATCCTTATAGAGAAGGTTTTTGGAGCCCAGACGGAGTTTGGCGCTCCTAGCACTTCTAGTGACAGCCGGATTCACCCTATAAGTAGACTTTAAATTGGGGTTCCTTCAAATCCTAAAATATGCTGATGATTTCAAACTATCTCCTTCCTTCTGACTTCCTCCCTGACCTGACACTGACTTTCAGACTCGGGGAAATCCACATATCTCTGTTCCTCGCCAGCGCCACATCAAGGATTTCTCTTTAAGCACAGTCACATGCTGGGGGGCTGAGAGGTTTAAAGGAGTGGAAGGGGGGGAGAAAAGCATTCAGATGAGTGAACCATTCACAGGGAGATTAACAGTGAAGAGAGTGAAGGCTGAAGTAGTCTGAACGAGTGTTGCGTGAGGACTGTGTGAGCATGAGCGAAATTAATACAAACCAAAACATCGTAAACGTGTGAGAAGGATTTGGGCTGGCAACGAGACGGATCGTATAAGGGGGGGGACACTCACCCACTTCTTTCAAAAATTAATTACAAAATATGGAAGCTCTTCTCACTAATTCCCCTTCTAATGTCGTTTCAAAGCTTTGGAGATTGAGAATACTCAAACAGGTTTTTCCACCATATCATAACATGACAGGAAAGGCTCTTACAAAAAGGCCTAACTCAAAAGGAATGAATTGTACCAAAAGCTAATTGGAGTTAAATTCACCTATTTGTTCATTAAAATCCCAAAGCTAATGAGGAAAATTTGAGACTAATTACAAAATAAGGCAGTAATATTCATTTCCTCTGTGCTGCAAGAACTAAATGAGCTAATTACATGTGAGTGTCTAGGTCATAATTGATTGAGAACAGAAGAGTTTCGAGATGCGTGTGAGTGCGCGCTCCTGTGATTCCCCTGGTACACTCGATGCCACACAATCCAAGAGATCGACAGCATGAAAGACAAAGGGAGGGGGGGAAACAGGAAAAGGACTGAATGGGTTCACGCTAAACGGCAGCGTGGTAAATTTAAAGAGACACCTGTCTCTGGATGTCTGTTGTGAAAAATCTGTAGATGCTTAAAATGTTCTGAGAGGAAATTAATAACTGCGTGAAAACATTTGAGCTTGAGTACAATTAAATTTGCAAATCTAAAACCTTTAATATGACTCCCAACAATAGCTTAAACTTCCCAATATTGATTTCCTTTTCAATTTGAAGTCCTATATGACCATTATAATCTTATTTAATTGAGTTTTATTCTTAAGTTTATAACAAGAAGCAAAACATGCAACAACTTCTTTGTTAGGGTTAGCAGTCTGAAAGCAAGAGAAAATGAAAATCATTGGAGAATGTGTTTAATTAGAGAGTGGCTACTGATATATAACATTTTCTCATTCTCATAAATACAACATGCTGCATAAATGTACATCTAAGACTGTTGTGTTGAGCACATCTCAAGCCTATGGTATTTGCATATCAGTTGACCATTGTATGTCTGCTTTTCTGTACATTTCACCTTGTCCCTAGCCTTCATCTTTGAATAAATTATAACAGCGTAATAAACAACAGCAAAATATGCATTGTGTATCTATATATCTATCTATCCAGAAAAACATCCAGAACACAGCAAACAATAAAATGTATGACGTTCTCAGCAAAGTGCTAACTATCATGAAACCAGTGGTGGGCGGACTGGGACTTCAAAGCCTTCTCTGTTACCTTCTTGGTGGTCCAATTTGAAGCAAAATATTTGGTTTTCAACGTATAGTACAAAATCCATATGTTGTTCCTCGTGTTGTTAGCTGATCCCTTCTCCTTTTCTTTGTTTATTGCATTAAAAGCTTAGTAAGAAGAAAACTATGCTGCTTTAAGAAAAGATTACTTTTTGATTTGTTGAAATAAAAACACAAAATTGCCATGGTGTCATTGGGTGAGAGCATCAGAAGAAAATAAAATTAAATGATTGGGTAGGGGTTAGTCGGGAAGTAAACAGCCTAAGGGAGCTTCATTTACTGCTACTGTAATCTCTAAGAAAACTTGGTCCACTGATTGTGGCTCTAAAGCCGGTCTCCTGGAAAATGCCTGAGTGATGATGAACCCTCTGCTGTTCACACTGGCCACTCTATAATTAAGCTTTAAACCTCTCAGAAAGGATTTGTCAAATGGAAACTTGGGGTTCGCTCACTGAAACCCCATTACACCCCTTCAAAGTTGTCACTCCTCTGCAGACTTGCAAAGAGTGCAACTCCAAGAGCTGAAACGCTTGGCAATTAAAAGCCTGACTTTCTGTGTGGCCTACGGAACGCCAAACTATATCTAAAGACACAACCTTCAGAAACACAAGCCCTGATGCTCCCTTACAGTTTATATATTTTTTGAGTTAATCTGATGAACTGCTTTAAGTAATGATCTCCATTAATCTTCTGTATAAATTACTAGCTTCAGTACATCCCTGGAATTAAAGCTTCTAGGACTTCTTTTGTTATACCTGTGGAGTGGAAAGGTAAGGGGGAGGGGAGTGTTAGTGAAAGGAAGCTCTTATGATATGTCTCAACTCACCTAACGATTAATCACACACCTTTAGGCACTGAATTAAAGACCTCTGATAACTGGAGAAGCCTAATCATCTGCATAGCCAGGAGGAGGATTCATTTCCCATAGATAAAAGCTACACCAACCTATTTTTTTCTAAATACCACTCTTTTTACAGGAGAAGAAATCTCAGTGTTTAATCAATTTAATTCTTGTCCTTTAATGTCTTCATTGTTAACCTTTACACAATAAAATGTCCCACTGTATCTTAGAAACTGTACATTTAAACATGTTGGAGGAACACATGTCTTTATCCTTTTTTTACCATTTGTAACACTAAGCAACTTTTTTGTCTCCTGATCAAGACAAAGCTTAGCACAAAGAGATTTTTGGAGACGGATTTAGACCAATCAGTGTCACTATGGCAACATCAGGCATCAGGTGAGCAGGGTGAGCAGTAGCTCGATGGGCAACAACGATGATTGCAACTATGTAATTTCAGCAACGAGGGAGAGACAATGCACTATGATGAAATATGCTCTTACCTCTGAATAGAATTTGATAAATGGAGCCAAATTTACTGGAATATATACATTAGATTTATTTGTGTATTTGTTACACATTTATTTTGTTTTTCAAAAGTTACATAAAAGGATAAAGATTAAATTATCTAGGCTGGTACAAAAATTGCACGAAGAAAGAACTAAAGCTAAAACACAGATCTTGGACTCTTTGATTACCCTTTTTGAAATCTTATTAGCCTATAATTCCTTGCTCTCTTGAGATGAAGTCATGTTGGCTCATTTCCCTAAATCCCTGCTTTCATAGCAGGCAAAGATTTAAGATCTACAGGTTTATACAAGCAGATGTGGGACTAATAATCTCACTTTGCACAAAGTCATTTAAGTCAAATAATCAACTATCATTTATAGATAATTATTCTGACTCAAAGCAATATTTCTTTAGGAAGATAATAAAGAAACTGAACCTGAAAGAAATGGCGTCGAAAATCATTGCCATCCCTACGAGGCCCCTAAAATCATGAGGTTGGACAACATGGAGGGAAGTATTTTATTACAATTACTCTTTCCATGTTTTTCCATAATAAACCAGATTCTGGGGCCTATTTAATAATAATATAAATACACTCTACATCAGATCAAACAGGTCTGGAACTAAGGTGATCACTGGAGAAGGTTAATTTTGTGACTGATTATTTCTGTGTTAATGCATTTTTTGGGATAAATATCTTACTTAAAGCTTCAAGGATGAAAGCCTAAGTTTTCAGACAGTCTACCAGATTTCTATCCAGGATTACAGGGTATTTCAAGGCTTTTAAAATAGACTATTGCCTGTCCTTTATAAGGAAATAATTAATTTCTATTTTGTTTATTTACATTTATATTTATATTTACATTTGGTTAGCAACTAAAAGTTTGTATTTGGTTCGAAATAATCTTTCTTTATGTCTTATACTATATCATACTTTGAATAAATATTTTGTTAGTTAATTTGCAGCAATGGTCCGGCAGTGATCACGAAAAAAGTTTATGTTTCAAGGCAATTTTACATGTGAATAAACACATTCTTTTTTTAAAACTCTGTAAATAAAAGTTCAACATTTTTTTTCTATAAAGAAAAATTAACCAAAATAATTGTGACACTTTTTGTAAAATTAAGCTGGCCTTGTTTTATCCGTTGAAATCCAAAGCGGATATTTCAGGAACGCCAAATGTTCACATTTAAAATTTTAAACAGAATTTTTTTTTTTCCTCTCACCAGCCTCCATGTGGATGGCATCTATGTTGGTTGTTATGGAGACCAGGCTAGCACACCAGGAGAGCTTTTTCTTGCTGCTTGTTTACATCCCTTATATTCCACCCAAGGTGGCCAATAAACCTCAGGTTCAGCTTTAAACATTTTAATCTAATTAAATAAGATTCTATAATTCAAAGGTGCCTCTTAATCAAGCCCCAAAAAGTAAAGTACAGATTCAAAGAGGATCTCCTTGGACAATTATTGTATAGGAACTGTTAGTGATGCTTCCAAATGTGTAGTTGCTCAATTTTCTAAAAATATTTTAACATGGGAAGTTTTTGGCCAGGAAAACATACTCATATTAAAAGTTAAATCAAAATTACAGCAATTAAAATTTACCCAGGGGCACATGGTTGCCTCCCCAAAGAGTGCTTTTCATATGAATTTTCTGCTTCAACTCATTACAGTGTGGACTTTTCACGGCTGTCATAACCAAATAGAAAACCTTGAAAGGAGCATCGCTGATTGAAATAACACTTAACTGTGTTGCCCTGCACCATAATAGCCTTATCCAGCCAGCATAGAAACAGTATTATAAGCAGTATTGAGTGCAACGACAGACTACAATGCAGCATGACACAATAATTACAGACATGTGAGCGTCATCTTATTCAAAAATTAAACTCTGACTAAAATCTCTTATCTTAAGCTATCTAAATTACCCTTACTCAAGCTAGTACAATATAAATTACTGACTGTAGCTTGCAGGGAAAATAATGCATGTACTGTTCAAAAATGTCATTTGGATAATTAAGCAGAAAATCTTTGCAATCCTCTACTTGGAGCTAAATGAATGGAAAGAATGAAAAGCCATAATGACTATGTGTGTGGTCTTATCTGGAGAAGGATTTTTTTTTATTTTCATAAAGAAAAAAATGTCCCAGCCTGCACAGAGGATAGATCGTTAAGGCATTCAGAGTGGAAATAAATAGAGGTGTTGAAGTTTCCCATCCATACAAACACAGGCACCTGTGTTTGTATGTTTGTGTAAATTGAAAAACACAATACTGGCAGCAGAGAAGAAGCAAACCCTCTTACCTTTGCCAAGTGGGAATTGATCCACTTTGTGAACGTCCTTTTCTGCACCGCCTCCTGCTCATCTGTAAATCAGAGCCCAGAGCATTGCCATTAGTCCTGAACGATAATAAACAAATAAGGGATTAAAACGCAATCTTCTAATTGTCTATCGCGGGGGAGAGCCGATTGGGCTTTCCAGAGAGGGCATGGTGGATTCTAATTAACTTTGATTTATCGCTCTATGCTTGATGTGTCAGAAGACAGTCATACCAAATTTTTTACCCACAGCTAACGTACTATGAAACGTCACTTGACATTTATCGATGACATTTCCACAAGCTGAACTCCTCTTTTTGCGAAGAAGAAATTCTGTTCTTGAAAATGACCTTTCAGATGTTAAAAGGACAGCGCAAGAAGCAAAGCGTAATGCACATGTACAGATTTAACTCTCCAGCAGGTTGTTAGAGGTGGCCCCTGTGATAAAGACCAATTAGCAAAAGACACAATCAATATGATAGATGTCTGTTAAATATGTCCCTTGAAAAGCCACTCAGCTTAAATCTCAGGGTCACAAGCCTGATTCAAATATTAATACTTAATACTTATTTTATGCTTTATTAACTTTATTTATTTATTACAAAAAGTAAATGCAAAATGATAAACTTGAGCATCAAACACTGACAGTGACTGTGTGGAAAATTAAGCAGTTCCAATTATCTTTTTAGTAAAGTAACTCTGCTATAAAACTACAACTGCTCGGAGCAATACATCTACAATATAGACATTCCATTCCATTTTCCGACACTATCCATCCATTCATTTTCCATCACAGTTGGGGTCAGGAGGGATGCTGGTGCCTATCTCCAGCTCTCAATGGGCGAGAGGTGGGTTACACCCTGCGTAAACCCTAAACACCCTCGCCACTCTATCGCAGGGCAACACAGAGACAAGCAGAGCAAACAACACACACACCTAAGGAGAATGTAGACAGTCATGTTTTGGGACTGTGGGAGGAAGCCGGAGTACCTGGAAAAAACCCACGCATTTTCAGGGAGAACATGCAAACACCATGCAGAAAGACCCTGGGCCAGGAATTGATCCCGGAACCTTCTTGCTGCAAGGCAGCAGTGCTACCTACAGCGCCACTGTGCCACCATACAGACATATGAAAGATAAAATAATTAGAAATATAACAATCTGTCAGATATATGGTTTCACCTATTGTGGTTTCTCGAGCCAATCAAAGACCATGAAAAGCCTGGCCTACTAATTCCGAATATCTCGCCACTACCAAAATACTTCACAATTTCAGGTGATAAGGTCACATTACAGCTTACATTTTTCCAATTGTATTTCAGTTAAAAAGACTGAATGAAACTCATGAAACAATACAAACTTAGTTTAACTGCACTTGAGGCAGTTCAGTCAAATATAAATGAAAGGTGAAGAGTGTTGACGGTGGCCGATTATTAGATATGGAGGATAATATTGGTCTTAAGTTAAGGTATCAGTCGATTGTCAATTATTCAAAATGACAGAAATTGAGGCAATTCCATCAGTGGTCCCCTAGTTATATATCTATAGTTTATGCTTTGTATGATATATAATTATATACAACAACAATTAAATATTGCTTTCTATGGTGGCTGTGGGGTGCAAACGCTACAATAATACAAGATATCAAAACAAATTCAAATAGAAAGATGCTGCAAGTCACTTAAACAACCATAAAATCAGAAAAAGCTGAAAACAAACACTAAATAACAGAAATGCCCCAGACCACTAGGGGGTGAAGATCATCAACTCATATGGGACCAAAACAAAACATTACTTGTCATGATATGGGTGCTGATGACTGGTTTGATTACTCATTGCTTTCACCTGTCTATCTCTACCCAGTTCTCATTACCATTTAGCTGATCCAGCTGCTCCAGCCTTTATTTAACCCGCTTGCTCCCAGTCATCAGTGCCAGATTATTCAAGACTTTGGTGAGACTTCTCTAGCTTTCCTTAGTGTTTCTGATTTCCTGACCTGTTCAGCCTTTGGACCTCTGAGCCTGATCCCGTTCTGATCTGTTTGCCTGATCTGTCTTCGGACTCCTGCTGGATTTTTTCCTGGATTTCCCTTCGGTATCTCTTCAGACCTGTGATCTCCTGGCTCTGACTACAGAGCAAGTCATCGACCACACCTTTGGCATCGCCCTCTGGATTATCCTGCCCTCCTTCATCTGCTCAGTTCTGACCTCCTGCCTATCCTCCGACCTCCCGGACTTCAGCGTCCGGGGTGGCATCCGTCAAGTCTTGTTTGTGGCCAGCCAGCTGAAACCATCCTCATCGTCTGGGCACACACTGAACTTTAAACCCGTCTTTCTGCCTTGAATACCGGATTCTTTTGTTCAGAGCCAAACATTACTAGGACTTAATGTCTCACAGGGTCTCATATGAGTTGATGCTTGTCGCCCCTTAGTCGTCTGAGGCACTTCTATCATTCAGCACTAGTTTGCAGCTTATCTTAAAACGTAGCTGTTTTTGCTACTGACAGCTGTTTTGTATATTTTTTGTGTGTTAGCATCATATATGCATTTACAACAGGTTCTGGGTTCACTGCATGCTTTTTTGTTTGTGATTGTAGCCTTTTTTTTACTTGCAGCAGTTTTTGCTAATTGCAGCATTTTCTCTTTTTCTGTGTTTTACTGTTTGTGAGAGTAGTTCCTAACCACTCTCTTTTTCATTAGTCAAGCTAACCAGCTTGGGCTCCGCTCTGTAAGTGTCCCAGGCATTTTGTTTTAAAACCTGATGGACAGTTTTGCAGTTCTAAAACCATTACGTTTTAAATTCTTTTTAACCCAAGTGGAAGCTTGACTTAAAGACAAAAAGCAGAAAACCTAACACATAACCCTGATGTGCACCAAGAACACCATCAACGATGATGCGATACTACTGCTAAAAATGGAGATAACTAGAATAAAAGCAAGTCATCTACATTTTCCTGATATTTTTTATTTTATTTTATTGTCCCACCATTCTCTGTGATCTGGTGTGAGCATCTAGGACAGGACAAAGGTCAAATATTGTTTCATATATTCTTGAAATACAGAGCGCTAATGATAAAATCTTCTTACTGAATTATGCACCCATACAGCACTTTGTGATCATCTTTAAAGAAAAATAAAAATCTCATGCATCTCATGGGATTTTGTCCATCTCACTTCACCCAATACTTCAACACCCTTATCTAATTTAGATTCTTTTAATTTTCATATACAGTACAGATCAATAGTTTCAGAGCTTTCTGTGATTTGCATTTACTGTCACTGTGCCATTCCGGTCCCATCTGGACCATTCAGCAGTCTCCTTGAGATAAGCACATTAGCAAGGAGAGAGAAGGATGTCTGACACAGTGCCTTCCATTCCACCTTAATGAAATCTGCTGATGGACTGATTACACTCAAGTTGGTTAGTGTGTCAGTGGATGCAGTGGGCAGATGTGAACAGCGAGGGGAGTGCACGCCAAAGGGTAGGAGATTGAGAGGGGGCGGCGTTGGTGTGGTAGCAATGGAGGGGTCTACTGTTCATACATAATGCAGATACCTCCCTGCGTAGTCATACGTGCCACTGAGCAGATCCCTGTACTATGAATTAATCTTTTGATTGGGTCTGGAAATTATCAAATATTGATGGGCTGAAATATTGGATGAAAATGGGAAAAATGTAGATCCTTTAGCAGGAACATGAATGGCGGAGAAAACGGCTGTATATGCCAGCTTCTTTGGCTCAGGGACGAGGTGACTTTGAACTCTCTCTCTCTCTCCAATTTACTGTAAGCACGCACCAACACACTCAAGTTCTCTCATCAACACAAAGGAAAAATAGCCACTCAGGAAGCAATTTTGATAAAACATCCTGTCTCAACCTCCAACTTTGACCCACTCCACTGAAGAAAACATAAAAAACAAATCTCATTTATTTCAAAATGTGTATTTTTTACACTCAGCTGTATATGTTTGCCTTACAAGGACGCAAAGCAGGGAGAAAAAAGCTTTATTTAAATATTTTTTATAAATGTTTTAGGTAAGTTTCTTTAAAATAGATGAGCAAACACAGCACTCTCTGTAGTAATATCCAAACACAAGTAAGAGCATTAGAGGACTCCAGGACAAAAAGGAGAAATTAATATTTTTCTAGTCACACCCCTGCAATGTGATGCAAGCAGGGGGTTTACTTTTCTGCTTGGTTTGCTTTTTCCACTCCCTGCCGACTTCTAAAAAAGCAGTCTCCAAACTCAGAAGAATAAACAAACATACACAGTCTGCCAAGAAACACGCTCTTCAAATGTGTCTGTTTCATGCAACAAACTTTCAAAGAGCAGGAAGAAAGCAGCCAGCACACATGAAGGCATCAACAGATTCAACGCTGCAAAGCAACTCAGAAAAAGCAAGTACTATCATTCATGAAAAACATACATACAGGAACTTTCCCTGCTGCTCTCTCTTGCCATCTTTCTCCACAGAGCACACTGCCAGGCAGACACGCTGCCCCACTTACCTCGTAGGTAGTGGTGGAACCCTGTCACCAGGTTGAGAGATGTCTTTTTTGGGGAGCCTTCCCCTCCTACTCGCCGTGCCATCTTTTAGCCCAGACCTCATGCAGGTTCCTGCTCATTTTCATGAGGACATTGAGAGGACGTTCACGACAAGCTCCAGGAGAGAATTGCCCTTGCTCCTGCCCTTGCTGGCTTTCTTTCCTCCTTTTCTTTTCAATTTTTTTTGGGAGAAGAGGGCTACCTGGGAAGAGCTTCCTGGAGCTAAGGACGCCGTCAGATGACAGCAGTTTAACTGTTGCTTTAAGGTAAAAACAGAAGGACGAATTGTTGGGTCTGCACTCGTTCTTCACATCCTCTCGGTCCTGTCCTATCCTGCAGTGACGGACTGCAGACTCAGTCAGACTAGGTGCTTTTCCTGCCTGTTAAGCAGCTTGGGAGTGTGATGAGAGAGTACGCGTGATACTCACAGTGTTTGTGTGCATGTGAGTGTGTGTGTGTTAGCACTGCGCAGTGCCGGCTTGCCTCAGCATCAATCTTTCCTGCTCACATACCCCCCCCTTACACTCTCTACCTTCGGTCCTCCCACGTTTTACTCTGCTGCAGGAGCAATCCACTTCCCTCCACTGGCCAGCCAATCGAAGTGCGTGGGAATGGGTGATGTCACAGCAGCCCTGTCCTGTTCTAAAAGGGGAGGACCGTAGTGGGTGGGTTTGATGGGGAGCGTTTAGCAGGTTAGTGGTAGCAGCTCCACTCTGACAGTACCACACACACATGCTCTCACACAGCATCTCTGCAACACAAGTAGAGGTATTCCCTATGTGATTCTGGCACTCTGACTGCTCAGAGATACCATGCGGTGCTGTGAAACATGCAGCTTTCTGCTCCGTAGTGCCTGCAGGGGAACACACTGTCACAGACACTCATCCTGTCTGATCTGTGTCTGTAGTCTTTTCAGAAAGGATTTTCTTTCATCTAAACCACAAACGGTACATCTGTGTATTTTGGAGCCTCTTAGCTGAACACAATAAAACACAGCAACGTCTGAATCGAGGTTCAAATAAAGTACGCCTGCACTGAAATAAGAGCTGAGAATGTCATTCATACAAAAAGTGACATGAGAGATCCTCAAATCATTTAGGGTATTTATTTGAAGTTTTCAATATTGTATTCCTTAAATTTATCTAGTGATTGTTGACTATTTTTAACTAGATAAATTGTAACATTGTATCTGAAACCTTAGAAAATAAGCAAATTGTAAATAATTAAATAATCCCTTTCAGATAATGAGTGATAAAAATAATTGTTGGGTTAGTGAACACACTATAATAAGCACTACTGACGCTCTTCCGCGTGGGTTAAGGTTAAGCACTTTCACTATCAGTAAGGTGTTGATTATCAGTAATTTTAAAGGAAGCACTGAGTTCTAATAAGATGCTTAAAAACATCTATCCATCCATTTTCCCTCACGCTTATCCCAAGCAGGGTCGTGAGGGGTGCTGCTACCTATCTCCAGCTGTCTACGGAGGAAAGGCGGCGTACACTCTGGACAGGTTGGCTGCTCAGTGGTAAAGTGGGTAGCACTGCTGCCTTGCAGCAAAAAGGTTGCGTGTTCGATTCACGGCCCGGGTTCTTTCTGCATGCAGTATGCATGTTCCCCCTGAGCATGCATGGGATCTTTCCAGGTACTCTGGCTTCCTCCCGCAGTCCAAAAACATGACTGTTGGGTTAATTGGCTTCTTTAAAATCTCCTTAGATGTGAATGTGTGCATGAATGGTTGTTTGTCTCTGTGTTGCCGTGTGATGGACTGGTAAACATTCTCGATTAGGTCTTTTCAGCTGTTTATGCTGCTGCAGCAAAAAACTAAACTTAAGACTGTGCTCATGATAGAGCTCCTTCACCATTTTTCATTTTTAGTTTTATTGACATCTATTATTGTAAGACATCTCAATAAAGCACACGAAAGCACACAATAGGAAAGCCAATCATATCACAGCAAAATCATCCTTTTTGTGCTAGACGATGACCAGCTCAAGTCCTCAAGTCTAGTGTCCTGCACATTTACACTGTGTTTCTACTCTAACACAAAAATAGTTGAATCCCCTCCTTAGCATTTCATACAGCTCTGCAGAGGTCTGCAAATGAAGCATCATTTAATATGTGTATGTTGAACTATGGAAAGAACTAAGGCATCCAGCAGAAAGACACTTCAGGACTGACTTCTAATAATTTTTTTAAATGCCAACTTTCTAAATCATCCAGTATGTGTATCGGGTGTATAATGTGTTCAGCTATACATTGTTCCATTCCATAGCAACCTTTGCCCCTCTGTTTCTAATTTGCTGGGAGCTTAGTGTCTCCTAATGGTCCTAAATGCATCACTCATGTACTCTTCCCCACCCAAACAGAAGACTCTTGAGCACATAGAAAGGAGCATTGTGATGTTTGGATGTTATGCATGTCATAAATATTATGCGCTAAAGTAAATCCCAAACATGCTATCTTAGTGTTCTGAGGTTATATGGTCAAATGCTAATTGATACTGATTAGCTAAAGATATTATTACCACCCAATGGTGTGTCCTGTCAGTGATTTATTCATTTTTCAATTACAAATATAACTTTAGAGTCATATTATGTAAAGCATTAAGTCAGCTGCTGTATGGTTTATTTAGATACTTTATGTACATCCTTTAGAACAATATAAATAGAAAGATTCTTGCTCCCTGGATAAATATTAACATATACTATGGTTAAAGCTCTTTTGATTGCCAGCAGAGGAATGCAAGTGTCACATTTGTAATAATGTTTGTAAAAAAAAAGGACTGCAAAAATAGAATTGGCATATGGAAGCATTTCCCTCTTCTAAGACACCTGATTTATATCAATTCTTCTATCTGATGTCATTCATCTGCACAAATAGACATCCAAACATTGCATTGGGAGCTATGGGAATATTAAAAGCTCCCAGCTCCACTTTGAAGCCAAATTCAGAGACTTTCCTGGAAAGCAATATTCTAACTGAAGTGCCGACTGGTTCCTATATCAGCTTTAGAGATGAAAGAACCATTCATCATTTTCTGTGATTTCTCCCCCCCTCTCCTTTTGTTCTTCTGTTTCTTCCCATAAGAGATTTTAATTATGAAAGTCATCAATAACCGATGGCAGCTGTCATCTGCTATCTGTCTGTTGATAATCACACTGCTGACACTCATCCCTTTAACAGCCAAAAAAACTGCCCATTACAGTGGGATCATAAGCTTTCTCATCATATGCCTTTCAAAATTGAGGGTATTTTACATTAATGTAGAGGTTTTTATTTACATTTACTTTTTGACCTTGGCTCGTGAATCCATTATTTTTACTGCCAATGGAAAAAAAAAGAGGAGGTTTCTTTTTCTTTTTTTTTCTTTTTTTTTCAATTCATGGTCAATACCAGCCTAGCTGGAAAATCCTTGGCCTGTAAAGTGTTCAAGCTTGGAAAAATCTATTATTTTTACATATGGCTGTTTGTGCAGAGCTGGTCAGCTCAAATTATATCAATGTTATAAATAACAGAAACCTGTTTTTGTGTTTATATTCAAGCATTAATGTCAGGTTAAATATGTCTTAGCAGCAAATAATTTACTGCAGGGGAACTGAGCCCAGCTTTACAAGTGAGAGGGAGCTGTCCCTGGTGCTGAAACTGTCAATGAGAGGCTTTTAATTTGACAAGTATCCCGATTTAATCCTGCTTTACTATAGCTCCACACATAAGCATGTGCTGAATTCCTATTTGTACATGTTAAAGAATTTTTCCAGCGATTGCCTCTAGGGCAAAAACGAGTAAGCTGAACTTCTCTAGTGAGTAACGCTGTTTTACAAAAAACAACCCCAGGACAAAATCAAAACCAGAGGATAAGGATTCAAGGGACTTGTTACACTTCACTGTGGGGGATGAGGGAAAAATAAGGCGAGCAGGTGCATCCAGAAACACAAACACAGACTGAAACAGAGGCTTAGTTGTTTTCTCATCTATGGCATGCACAGACAAAAAAATAAAACAGAGTCCTCTAGGCTGCAGATCTCCAGAGTGTTTCAAACCTTCCAACAGAGAAAAAAGGAGGAGGGGAGAGGGTTAAAACAGACTGAACCTCAGCTGTTCAGCATCTCAACTAAAACCCCTGGCAACCTAACAAAAAAAAATAAAAAATAGAACACCAGCAGTGTCACAGAGGTTGTCGAGGTCTGCATTTTAGGTATTGCCTGGTGTTTACACAGCTATGTCTGCAGGCTGGTCTGCCTCTCAAAAAGGGGAGGAACAACATCTTTTCAAACATTAAAGAAAAAGCAAATGCCTCCTCCTGAAGGGTGGAGTAGCACTGCTTCAGCTCGTATTGTAATCCCCCCTTAGGATATTTGGATTTCCTATCTGAGAAACCAAGAGTGCTTGTTTAGTCCTTAAAGAAGTGCATAGTGGCACAATGCCACCTAGTGGAAATACTAGATGATCATTACATCTAATCTTTGCCTCCTGTTAGAAGAAATCTCTGGGATCTGAAAAAAAGATCAGCTCTCCTAATAAAACAGTCTGGTGAGTCACAAATGAACAGGCTTTGATTCATTAATGCACCACAGTCATCTATTGATTATTCATTTCATGCTACATTTACTCAACTAAAGTGGATAAAAAACACATTTATACTCACTTTTATAGCATTAAAACCCCAAATTCACTGTATTAAATTTGGACTTTAGGTGATATAGCAAAAATAAGAAGTGCATCAGAATTTAACCAAAGAGCAAATAGAGAACTCTTATTTGTAATTTAGTCTCAGTATAGTTATAGCTGTTAAGTGAAAACATCAGAACGCCATAAGAGCTGCTGCAAGAGGTGCACTACAAAATAATGATATTTATGGAGGAGATTAAAGATGTTTCTGAAAGAAAGCTAGCAGTCCAGTTTGCTCGTTTGCCACATGCCATGTAAGGAAAAACAGAAAACATGTAACACAGTTCTCCACTCAGCTGAGATCCAAACTGATCTTTCTGAGAAACATTCTACAGTTATGTCTGGAAACTGAAAAGTTTAACTTCTCTATATCTATAATTTACATCTATAAATCTAATCTAGGGTCTAA